GAGGCAGAGGCAGAGGCAGAGGCAGAGGCAGAGGCAGAGGCAGAGGCAGAGGGGGGTGAATCTCTGAGTTCGAGGCCAGCCTGGCCTACAGAGAGAGCTCCAGAGAGCCAAGGCTACACAGAGAAACCTTGTCTTGAAAACCAAAACCCCAAAACCAAAACCCACCAACCAAACAACCAACCAACCAACCAACCAACCAACCAACCAACCAACAACACTGCCTCCCCAAACACGGTCTCTGTTAGGGGGGAAACTACTTGCCCAGCTATGGGTGTTGGAGGCTCCACCATTTTCACACTGGCACTTTTTCTTTGGTACTTTCAGCCTCATTAATAAAACGGGTAAGAGGATGGCAAACTATCATGTCTAATTCCTCTTAAAATCTCAACCAAACCTAGGAATCAAACATTTGTCTACTAATTTCAGAGCTCATTTTATTTCCTTGATACTATTATAACCGGAAAAAAACTTAAACGTTTTTTGACTCATGAAATAAATACTCCATGGTGATGTCGGCACTGGTGGTGGCAGTGGCAGTGGTGGTGACTGCTGTGGCGTAGGTGGCAACTGCGGTGGCATTGGTGGCGGCGGTGAGCATGAAGCTGAAAGATGTGGTGTGGAGGTGAGGAGGCTTAAACACCACTGCAAGTCTTAGGTAAGAGAATTTACGAACGCAGGAGACAGAGTTAACTAGAGTGCCTTAGGCAATGAGTATTTATTAAAAGCCGGTGCACCAGGCAGTTACCCAGTACCCTGACAAATACACAGGACATAACCAATCTGCTTATTAGCTTATCTGATTAAACAAAATACATTTCATAGAAATGATTATAAAATGCATTGCAGATAGAATGTTTTATACTTACAGATCTTATGGTATCCTAAATAATTATTAATAAAAACCGGCCAACCCCATACTGTAAGTAAAGTTAGCAGACCACCACTTATTGCTTTATTGTAGGAGACAGACATCCAATTACCATGCTGAAATGAGCTTTAGAGTCCAACACAGGCATCCTGCTTCTAAGCTGCTACTGTACTCCACTTACAGTCCTAGAAACGGGGCTTTCTACCCCATATTAAATTACTATGACAACTTTTGGCTGAAAGATTAGTTTTGGTTTCAGAGTGAATCTGATTTAGTATTTCAGTGTCACACCTCAAAGATTCCTGACAGGAGGTTGGGGAGAATCACTCTAATTAAGTACTAGTCATGGGAACAAGACAGCACAACGCAGATGGGACATTTAATTCACTTTACTGGACATGCTCACGGAACTGAATTGGAAAATTAAAATGCATAGATGAAAGAAATCAGAACATAAGAGTAGAAGGGGGAACAAAAACCAACCAAACCCACAGAATTGCAGGTGTTTGAAGCAAGCCTGTTCGTTAGGAGATATTCACCACCTTGTTGGAGGCTTGTGGCTAATTCTTTAAAGGACCATTTTGAGTTTGTTGGTATACAGTGTACCCCTTAGGTCTGAAGGCTGATTGGGATGGATAAAGACAGCAAAAAGAAGGCTGAGAAAAGGCTAAAAAGCATGGAGTGCTGTGTTTACTGACCGTTACCATAACCCGAGCGCTACAGGTGTCCTCCGGGACCTTGCTCACCTCCCGAGATGGGTCTGTTATCTTCAGGCAGCAGCAGAGACAAGGTCAACTTTTATTGCACAAAAGCAAACTCATTCCCCTTCCCCCCACTTCCTGAGCTGGAGACCTCCAAGTGCAAACAAATCTGGATTCTCAGCATCTTACGCCTCTGGCCAGCAGGGGGCGCACAACAGACTCTGGAGAAGCACCTTCTTCAAGGGAGAACGTGAGGTATTATGTTGGCCCCAGCAGCTGGTCACTCAATCACCATTCTCAAGCAGCTTCTGTAAGTTGTTTTGTATCTTGAAACAATAAGGAGAGATGGTGTTATTATAAATAATATGCATATTTGAGTTTGTGTAATTAAGTTTGTGTAATCAGGAGTGTATTTGCTATGGCCTGGAAATGTGGGCACACACTCACACACTGAAAATGAATACAAATAAATTTTAAACCATTCTGAGCTGGTGATTTAGGTCAGTAGTTGTCACAGCTAGCTTTACCTTCACCTTGTTAGGAACCTAGAGACACCTGGGAAAGGGAGCCTGGGTTGAGGCGTTGCCTCCATCACACTGGCTTGCGGATGTCTGTGAGGCATTTTCTTCATTTTCTTACTTGCTAATTGATGCAGGGAGGCCCAGTTCAGAGGGAAATGCATTCACAGGCAGCTGGGCCTGGGGTGTATAAGAGAAGTAACTGAGACCAGACTTCCCAGCACCCAAATGCTAGCTCACAAATGTCTGTAACTCCAGTTTTGCAGGAGGTGTGAGAGGGTCCAACTCCCTCTTCTGGCCTTACATGTACTGCATACATGTGGTGCATATGCATATGTGTAGTCAAAACACTCAGATCCATAAAATAAAAAAATTAAATTGAAAAAAAAATTGAGGGGCTGGTAAGATGGCTTGGTGGTTAAGAGCACTGGCTGCTCTTCCAGAAGTCGTGAGTTCAATTCCCAGCAACCACATGGGGCTCACAACCATCTATAGGGGAATCTGATGTCCTCTTCTGTCATGTGGAGGTATATGCAGCAGAGCACTCATGCATTAAATTAAAATTTGCTTTAAATTTAAAAAAAATTAAAGAAAATTGGTGTGGGAAGAGATGGGTCAGTGGGTCAGAGAACTTGCTGTTTGTGCAGAGGATCTGGTGTCAGTTTCTGGCACCTACATAGTGGCTCACAATTGTCTATTACTCCAGTTCCAGGGGAATCTTATACCCGATTCTGTCCTTCCTGGGCACCAGGTATGAGAGTTCACATGGTGCATTTATACAAATGCAGGCAAAATACTCATATGCAGAAAAGAAGTCCTTAAAGAAGAATAGAAGGAAGGAAGGAAGAAAAGGAAGGAAGAGAAGGAAGGAGGGAGGAAGAGAAGGAGAGAGGGAGGGAAGGAGGGAGGAAGGGAGGGAGAG